TTTCTCAACAAAAAAATAAAAATTTGAAAAAACAAAATAATAACTTTTGTAGCCCATGATTTGGCGATTCTAATAAGATAAGATAAGTATTTCTATCACTTCTTACAAAAAACTAGATAGCTTTACAAGAACGCTCACTGAAACATACTTTTCGTCTGATGGAGCTATTTATATGAGATAAGAAATTGTTTTCTTTATTATATCTAAGTCTAATCATATAACATTTTCCTATTCAGTTTTTCATGCTGATTCAGAATATAGTACTTTGGCAATGCTCAGAAAATAACTGAAATAAAAATTTGGCAATTTTTGTAAGAAAAACAAAATTTAACATAAAAATATTTTTTTTCTCAGGTGTTCTCTTTTCTTAAGATTTTCTCAGCCAGCCAGTAACTAAATTGAAATAAAAAATATATATTCTTGATCAGCTTTTCATGCTCTATCAAATCATATATAAATAAGCGAGAAACAAAATTTACTCCAATTCTGCTTTAGCGGCACCTTACGAAATCTTGATGACAGCGTAACTAATTAATATTACCAATCACATCCTTTTTTCTTCTGCTCTAGTTTCAGCATAAGTCAAAAACAAAACATTGCAAAAAAGAATCTGAGAAAAACTTTCATCGATTTGTTGTTTTTATTTATCTTTCTTCTAATTTAAGATGGTAACAATATAAAACGAATGCGTTACTCAAAAATAAAAGACAGCTAAAAGTTTATTTTTTTCCAGTGGTTGTTGTACTAGTGACAGATTTCTTCTGTGGATGTGTACGTTTAGCATGTTTCTTTGATGGTTTTGTTATGGTTTCACCGGAAAAATAAGTAGTAATATTTTTTAACAATGATGAAAGTGACCATGCTGCTGCTTTTTGTTCTGTTTGACGAGGAGGTCCACGTTGAACTACTTTACTTGTTGAGCTTTGAGCAACGGCTAACTTAGCTGTTCGTGATTTAAGCAAATTTTTACGTGCAACATGATTATGATGTTTTGTAAATTTTAAATTACGAACATATTTTGGATCAACCTTAAATTTTAAAATGACAGATTTTCACATACGACATACATCTGTGTTCTGTTCTACATACTCCGCTTAATGATGGAAATCTTTGCGATTTTGGCCGTTTAATACCATTACGATGATCCTTTCGGTCTAATTAAAAATATAATCAAAATCAAAATAGCAAGGAAACGAAAAACATAGATGCATACTTTGATTATGATTAGTATGATTTTTGCTTTTGGCCATTGTTCGTTTCGGTTACAATAGAAGATGAAATATCTGAAATAAAATATAAGTTGGTTTATAAGATTGACGTTCAAAAAAAGAATTAATTAATTTGGAGAAAAAGCATTCTTTTTAGCTAACTAGAATAAAAGAAAACAGCATTTCCGTTTTGTTCATACCATTCGATAGAGAATTTCGAACAAACAAAAAAACTTAATTTTTTTTATGTGACATACTTTCACTAGTTCTTCACTAAAGTTATCGCTCAAAATTTTAAGTGCTTTAGAAATAAACAAACAGCAAAATCAGATTCCTATTTTATTTAGCCCACATGCACCTGTTTCTTATTATTTTATTTTATTTTAAATTTAAACATCGGATCACAGTGAAAATAAAAATGCTAAAGAAAGAAATAAATCTTTGTCTAATGATCTGATTGGTTTTGATGAAACGTTTTCTTTAATATTTTTATAGTGGAGTGGAGCAGCATGTCGCAATTTATGAACTGCTGACATCTACCAAGAAGCAGCTGTACTCTGTTATTATGCGGAGTTACTATAATATATAAATAAATTATTTATATAAAAACAAGGAAAACTCAAATATTAATTCGTAGAACTAAATCAAAACGGGAGATTCATTTAATCCAAGTTCCTTCCATCATATTTTAATTCGAAGTTGAAATACACTTTTCTCTTTTAATCTAATAAACCTTGGTATCCAACATATCACCTTGTAGCTCCTTCTGTAAAGATGTAGCAAGAAAAAAAACAAAAGTAAAAAAATCTATTCAATTACAAAGATAAAACAAGACTTATGCTGTTCTAATGCACTGATCATGTTGTTGAGGAAAATAAAATTTGTTTTGCTTATTCAATTAATGTTAATTGTTCTTCAGCTGTTTTCTGACGACAATGAACAATATCAACTCGATCTACTCTTAAAAATCGAATAGCAGTTAAACTAACAAGAATTTCCTTTTGTAGTGGCAAAAGAAATTTGGTTTTTGGAAAATATAATAGTTCCTCGTCGTCAATTGATTCATAACGTTCAATATATCTAAAACGACCCAGTTGAAAACAAATACGGTTGTATACTTGACCCTAGAATTGTGACCGTGTTTCGTCGTATACTGCGCTAATACTGGTAGTATATGATCGTGAACAGTAAGAATACCAGAAATGACGCGGACGACACAACCTAAACACACTCGACGTATTCTTGCTATTTACTACCGTATACTATCAGTATTAACGCAGTATACGATGAAACACGGTCGCAATTCTAGGTTCATGCATATGACGCCATATGTCTCTACCTGAGATTGTAGTTTTTTTAATCATCCGCAGGCCGATGTTTCCAGTGGTTTCCTGTGTGAACCGGCCCGCACTTTTCTACCTGGGCCATATCAATGAGTTGTATAATGCGTTTTCCCCTCTATCTTTCGATTAAAATGCATTTAAACACCATTTTATCATTTTTATGTCTGTATGGATTGTATTAGATCTCAAACTAATTGTTATGGACGTGAAATTTTAATTCTCTATCGAATGATATCATGCGCCCATCAATAGACACATTCACTCGTGCATTCCGATGATTCGTTCGATTAATTTGTACAGTTGAAATATCAGAAAAATATTCAACATTCTCTGTCTCTTTCGATCGAGATTTGTAAAAAATAATGAATTACTCAAATAGAACATACAATCTCTCACGAGATGAGATAATATCTACAAAAGTTTTAGTTTGAATTGTTGCATAATAATTTCTTCGGTGTAAATGTTTTGACCGATTTCAATTAGAGGAAAAAATCGACGGTTAATTGAATCATGAAAATACAAATCTATAATATATGTATTCAATAGAAAAACGAAGAGAAATCGATCACGACACCATGTTGTTACTACCATTTGCTTTGTCATGTTTTGATAAACTTCAAGTTTTCTGATGCATATTAGTCGATTGTCATTCAACATGTGAATAATACAACTACAGATAGTATGATACGAGTTTCTAACTGGTTTCAATTGCAAAACTTGTTTCAGAGACCTTGATATATAGTAGCTATGTGTATATATTTCGTGTACACTTTTTAACAAGCTTGTGGCTCTTCTTGACTAACGATTTGTATTTTTTTCCGTTCGATTTATTACGTATGAATGCTGGCAAAGATCATTCTAGCACTCGAAATTTCCATGCCAAGGTCAATGCGAAGGTTGACGAAGTTTAAAAAAAGTAATTTCACACGTTCTTGCAACTATCTTCAATAGCATCGATGTTTTTTTTTTTATTGTATTAAATACGTTTGTTCTAGAACTGAACATTTACTCAACGTATTATATTCTAATAAAGACGAAATCTAAATATTCAATTCTTGCTCGTTTAACGAAATAAACATAACTTCAATATGCAAGTCATATCTCAATATAAGTGATCGCACGAATACATTCATTTCATAGTGGTTTCGTGCTTGTTCTTTGTGTTATTCTTTTTTTTTGAAAAGCAATCATTAAAATGATGAGGTCTCATTGAATTTCACAAAAGACTAGATAGAAGTATCTGAGTTTGTTTTCTTTTGCATTTCTTTTTCGGTTTGATGTTGTGTATATTTGTAGCAATTACGAATAAAAAAACAAAATAAAAACTGAAATTCTATTAATTTTATAACTACTAGAATAAGCATTTATGAATAGCATTTCTATTTCGAATTTTTTTCTTCCCTCTGATTTTATTTTTTTTCTAACTCATTTGTTGTGTCTGTTTGCAAAAGTTGATCGATTTGTAAGACATTCTTAAGAATTTGTAGAATAATAGTATAATCTTCATAGACAATTGGTGCATCACTAAGGCATAGAATGTGATCATTTTCTTGTCGTGGCGAAACAGCAGATATCGATTCAGTTTGATAAGCTAAACATAAACAATGAAATAGAAAAGAAAATATAATAATGAAGTTCTATACTCGATATTTGATCATGATTGATTTGTGAAATATTTTCGAATGAATGAAATTTTACTTGTGTTACATCTGTTATTCTGGATTGGGACTCTTGAAATGGTTGATCACTATGATCATCTTCGATTTCATTGTAATTATTTGAAGTAATTTTAGAAATAGCAGTTACAGTTGATCCTAAATCTTCGTATACAAGTGGATCGATTTTAAATTTAATTAAAGATTTATCTAAAGAAGTTTGTATATACATATACGTAACTAAATTGGAAAGATTTCTAAGGTTTCTTTACCTTCGACTTTTGCCATATGCATTTGCTCTTGTGAATTATTACAACGATTTCTATATTCAGGATCGAATTCATAGGTAACTTCATAACATTCAGAAAATGTATCTCCGTTTGGATGAACAATATATAATCTTTCTTCAATATTACTATTATTATCTTCTGTTTGTTCATTATCTATGTGAATTGATGATTTGATATCATTTATTTTTAAATTAACTGTTTTTGTTGATATAAATGGATTAGACTCAGTAATATTTGCTGATATGTCAATAGATGACGGTAGGTTCTTTTCATTTTTATCTATTATTGTTATTTGAGAATCTGATGGCAATTGTCGAATACTAGAATAGCCATTTATTGATGATAACTTATGATCACTAATTAATATTGGACTACGAGGAATGATAGTTTCATTTGTTGTAAGTTTTTGTTCAACTAAAATAGAATCAAGCAATTGATAGGTTCGAGAGAAAAAAAATTAAATATTTGCTTTACTTTGATTATTAATTTTATTTGGTGTTGTTTGTTTTGATTCATCTACTTGATTATCTTTTAAATTAATGTTAGTTGATGTATTTTCAATCATAGTTGGTTTATTTTCAATTTCGATATTAGTCGATACTGCTGATGGTTGTTTTCGTTTGAGTCTAAAATGTTTTCGTTTGATAAAGAAAATTTTCGGGGCTACAAATTTCGATGTTGAATTTTCAATTTTAGTTGTCTTTTTTAATAGTTTTGGTGCTTGAAAATTTTCCGTTATAACTTCAACATCAGGAAGAACAGGAATAATTGTTATTTCGTTAACATTTGATGATGGTTTTGATTTACAGTTTGCTGTAAATGCTCGACTTAAATTACGTAGGCCAACAGCTAAACGTTTTGTGTTTATCAATGGTGAATTTATTTCTGGTTGATTTTGATTCGATGCAAGAGTATTGTCACGTAAATTTTTCGATATAGGACATATTGGAGCACGTCTTTTGACGCATAGCTCTTGTTGACTTTTTGTCTCATGTAATTGATCATGACCATTTGTAATACTTGAAATATCAATGGACGGTAATGATAAATAATGAACATTCGGTACACGAAGAATTAAATCAGATAGATTTTCATCATCTTCGTGTTGTTCAATACGAACTATGGAACCATGATAAATTGGTATTGATAAAGGTTTATCATTTTTCAATGAAAAAAATGACCTTTGATCAAGATTTTCAACTGAATGTGATACCGGTGAAACAGATTCTTTAATATCAGGAACTGTAAGCTAGATTATATTGTAAGCTAAACATTTTTATTTTTATTTTACTATTAAAATAAAACTTACAATCATAGATATAGTACGCTTTTGCAGAAGCGTCGTCATTGCTACTGAGCCTAGCAATGGAGAGAAGCAACAGCAACGCAAGCTTCTGTGTCTGCAGCAACAGTAAACAAACACAATGATTCTGATTCTAAGTTCTATATAAGGACAATTAGTCTTCCTACTCGGTTTTGTTATCAATACTTGGCATCTGTTACCTTCTGACAAAAACAAAAATAAAAGATCGATCAAGAAAAAGAAAGACTCAAATTACACAAACTATAGAAACAATCAACAGACATAAAAAGAATAACAGAATTTAATAAGCTAGATATGCGAATAGAAACTAGCAAATTGAAAAAAATCGAATTCGCTTTTGTTTCGAGTGGGATCGGAACTAGAGCAGCTGATCTTATTCATGTCTAATTAAGCATCTAAAAACAAGTCTAAAATAGTGATGTTTACATTGACAAAGTTTTGTCTCTTTTAGACATACCTAGTGTATATCGTTTTGATCTCGACTACAAAAAAAATTGACTTGTATAGTGTTTCTTTTTATTTGAAGTATTTGTCGACAATGTGAATATTCAACAATTTAGATTACTCTTTCTAGCAACTAGAATTCATTTCAGTATCTTATTGATAAATAAATGTGGAAACTTCGGATTTCATCCGAGAGTTATGTGTACTGCAAAAAGTGCATGGGACATATGAGCCATTCTAGGATGTCTGAACACGAAAATTATCATGAGAAACTAGGCAATTTGATTTCTGGATGCAGTTTTGTGCATTTTGAGACTTTTTTCAGGACGATGTTTCGTTAGAAAGCTACGGTTTAGTTCAAAACTAATATCAGATTCGGAATCAGCGTTAAAAACTGAATCGGTTTATATGTGTTGTGAATAATTCTGAGAAAAATTTGTTTTTTGAAAACAAATCCCTGTACTCCCCCTCAGGGATGGTCTGCTCAAAAATGACAATTTTTTCAATAACTCAACCATTTCTTGAGGGATCCTTCTCATCTTCGAACTCGACCGAGATATTCATGAGATTGAACTGTGTGGAAAATATCATCACGGTCTGACTCTCCTTTCGAAAGTTATCGTGCCTACGACCGGACGGACACACTGACTGATTCCTAGAGTGTACTCACTTTTTGAGTACACAAGAAAGATAGTTAACATGGTTTTGTTTTGAAACATACGAATAAAAATGATGATATTTTCATTCTAGAAGTGACAGAAAACTTAGTAATGCCTCTCTCGTCTTCTGTCATTGACCATGACAGACATATTCTTAAGAATAAAATTTATTCAAGAATTAATACAAGAAATGTTTGAATATAGCATGGTTACCCTTCGCTCTTTTTTTCTCTCTTAATACAAACTATAATATGCAATGATGGCTAGCTTTCACTATTGACATGTATTTAACAGTAGGTAGTAATTCACAAGCTGATATCTATGCCATTGAATTATTTTTTTTCTTTACAATGTCAACAGTTCTGTTATGTTTGACATTTTTCTCCTGTACGGATTGCATTAACACTTTTTTCTTTCATAATATGTTAGTTAATATATGTAGATTTTCTAATTCTTTTCACCTTGAAATGGTACATCAATTATAGAATAAATAGGCATAAAAGAAACGAAAAGAAAAAAAGACACGAATACAATACTAAAAGAAATAGAAAATGAACAATACTTATAAACTCTTTTAACACATTATAGCAATTAGGAGAAGAAAACTGAAATTCTTTTTTTCTCTCAAAAATTTATGGATTCATGAATAACTGAAAGCTTCAGATTATTATTATTTAAACCTTGTTGAACCAGTATGAGAACTTCGCTAAAGTCAAGATTCTCAGCACTAATACCATTGACATAAATAATACGATCATCTTTACGTAAACCAGCTCGATGACCTGGAGATCCGAGTTCTACATCACGAATACGAGGATTTAAACCTGTTTTAGCATCAGCAGATATCAAAATCCCAAGACCATCATACGAATCTGAACGTTTCAATATATAATGTCGAAGTGATGCTTCGAAGTTTTCAGCAGGAGCTTTACCATTAAGAGACTCTAAAATTACATGTATAAAGACTATAATAATACATTTTTGTTGTTTTGTCTAAGAAAACGAATAAATAATTTCTATATGCATAATATGTAAGGATAGAAGGGAAAAAAGAAATTCTTACGATTTCAGTATATATATTTTTTTTAAACTTACCGTTAGTTGCCATTAACTGAAGCATACAATAACTAGTTGTATACTATTCAAAACATTTTTTACGCTCCTTTTTCTCTGAGTAAATAATAAATCATTCAGGTAAAAAAAGAATTAAGTTTTTACTAGTTTGGAAGCATGAATTTTTTTTCTTTCTGAAGAGACTGTTCTGTTTTCTAGTTTGATATATGTATTAAAATATAGTAAATGTATGAAGCAAAAGCTTATGCGTATTTTTAGAAGAAAAAGAAAGAAAAAGTAATACAGATTGTTGTTTAAAAAATATGTTATTTTTTTATATTCTTAGTTTACTACATGGTTACCCTGTTTGCGTTCATGATTTTGATATAAATGAGTTGTTCGATCATAGATCTTGTCGCGTTCGATTGTGGTTGATGACCTTGTATAACTTGAATTTATATCATTATTGACATTATCTAATACAAAATAAGAAAAAGTTATTATTGAGGTATTTTGTCGTATGTAAAATAATATTATTTTTCGGCCTTACGAGAAAATCGATTATTTGAATACTGTTGTTGATCATATAAATATTGTGGTTGATCGTGTAATCCATATTCATATGCAATTATATAGTTTTCTTCTTGCATTTCATCACGATTTGTTTCTCGTTCATGATTTCTTGAATTATATTGATATTCATTTGTAACCGTTGGTAGAACAGTATCATGATTATTATATTTTCGTTCAATGTGAGTAGCTATTGATGTTGTTTTATGACTGTTAAGATCGTCTGTATCTTGAATGCTCCATGTTCGAAGTTCTCCGCCATCAATGAAATCATTTTTATCCTTTGTAAAAATTGTTGTTGAACTACGATAAGTTACCGGAGTATCCGGAGGATTATAATATGTCGTTCGAGATGGTGTTAAAGATGAATGAACACGTGAGCTATCAACAGCCACACAAATAGCAGTCGCTTCTGTCGGACCAGATGATGACTGAGGAGTTAAAGGTCGAATATAGCCATCATGATGATGAGTAGAAAGTGGTGGTGGTGGTGAAATACTTCTCAGTGTACTTAGCCTTTGCCGGTCTTGATCACATTCATTTAACGTTGTTGTTGATGCCTCAAATCGTCGTGTTCGTTGGGGACTTGGTCGTTTTGATGGACGTTCATTAAAATGAAGAGGATCTGGATTCAAATGATAATGAACAATCGCACTTAACCCGGGATATTTATCAACTGAAAGCAAAAGAAAAACGAGAATTTTTAATGATTAATAAATTCTTTTGAATAAAATTTTTACTATTCGAGATCGTCGGTTTCGATGAAGTCAAACTAGTATTATTCATAATTTCTGCATCAGGCAATGAACCATATGTACTTGAATACGATCGATTGGGTTGAACAGTATGACTTATATTTGATAATGAATTATATGTATCATCAAGATGAGATTGAGAATTAGGTTGTTTGGATTTTTCTCTATATGATGTTTGACCTAGCGATACGTACGGTGTATTTAATTTTGGAATATCAACATCTATTGATGATGATGTTGGTGAACGTGTGTCAGAATTGTTGAGAGACGATGATGAATTACTCTTCCATTGAGTAGAATAAGCAGTTGAATTGTGTGATTGCATTATTGATGGAGCAATAATAGGAGTTTTTTCGGCTAAGATTTGAACAGTTGTTAATGATGGAATTTCATCAATTTTACGGTGTTGTTTTGATGGAGAAAATTTTGATGTTACAGGGCGTATTGGAGTGTTTTCGGTGAGCATTTGAGTGGCAGTTAAAGATGGTGTGTCATTCAGTTTACGTCGCTGTTTTGGTGTTAGAAAAATTTCAGTATCTGATATTGGTGATGATGAAGTATTTTGATAATAAGAATATTCAATATTTCTATCAGGTACTCGACGATTCATTGATGGTGAATGATTATGATTTGACGTGTATGGTGGCGGTGTAATAGCATCAGCACGTGATGTCATTTCCTGAAAAATATAAAAAATCAATTTCAATATTATATTCTTTTGAAAAAAATTCTTTCTGTTTTTATCTGATCATGTATTCTCATAATTTGTATTAAATAAACAAATGAAGTGTTTTTCTTACACCCAAATAGCTTTTCGCTGTTTCATTGTATCTTCAGATTTTTTTTTTCTTCTTTCAATCATCGATTATTCGAGCAAATATCATGTCCAAAGGTCAATTTCATAGAATCGAAAGACATCGACAAATAAGATATAGGCGACATTACTTTGACAAGCAATTGCTATTGACTGTTAATATGAATCATACGAACGAAAGATAATCCTGTGACAAAAATCAATTCATCGCTTGATGATCCTGTTTTTTACCTGTTGAGATGTATTTGTATGGTCAATCACCATAAAATCACGAAATCCTTTCGTTGTTGTTTCGTAGGGTGATGCTGAGTTCATTCGTCCAATACTTCCATGTGGAAATTCAGGTGTTTTAAGCACAAAATTCGGATCATGCATCGATATTTGATATTCTCGTTGTTGTTGCTGATGATGCATAGGACTTGATATGTCTAGCGGTGTTATGGTGACCTTTTTATTCTTTTTACTATCTTTCGTTTTCGTTTTCGTTTTCGTTTTACCACTTGTTGATTCATCCTTTCTTGTTGGCGATTTTGCCTTTTTTTTCCCGAACGACCAACTAACAGAAGGTGCCCGTAGTTGAGGAGCTTCTGTAGATGCTGATATTGTTTCTGGTGATGTAGATTGTTGATATGCTCTTGCAGGTGGTGCAGGTTGCAAATGTTCAGGATTAGTGATTGTACGAGTTGGAGATGCAGAATTCTTGCGAAATAAATTTCGAAATTTTCCACTCAGACTACGACGATCATTTGCTTTATGAGCGTTTTCATTTCTTGTTTGAGTACGACGCGTTTGAACAGGAGATGGATTTTGTTTGGAAAATATAGTAGTAGACATTTTGTTCTATACAAATAATAGGTATTTATCTATTAAAATGAATAATTAAGAGGCATATGTATAAATATAAATACGTATATAGATTTTTTTTACTTATATCTGAATATAAACGTATACCGTATGCATATAATTAGACACGCACAAGCACTTTTATTCTTGCTGAGAATAAGAGATCTATTAGCATTATGATGACAAACGACGTCGTTCGTTTTATTTTTAAAAGTTTTATATTGCTCTGCTCGATGAAATATTTCTTCTCATAATCTCTCCTCTTCTTTTTTCCTCTCCCCTCACTCTCTTTCGTTTAGATTTAGATTTATATATATATATATATATTTACAACTCAAGAAAAGAGAGAGAGAGAAAGAAATAAAAAAAAAAAAGACGGAAGCAAATATAAAGAAAGCAAGTTGATAAAATACGATTCCTCTTCGTCAGGATTGAATTCTATTGATCGAACAGTTCAAAAACGATTGAATACATATATATATATATATATATATCAATTACTCTGTTTGATTATAATCATCTAAGTTTTTCTTGGTCGTGTTTTATATTTATAAGTGTTTTTTTTTATTCGTGTTTTATAACCGAATGCTTATGGCAGCGAAACTCTTCATGTTGCCAAACAATTCTTTGTTTTTTATTTAACCTTCAGTGATTCTTTTTTTCTAATATCAGTCTGTGAATAAAATTAAAATGCTAATCTCTAGAATTTTTTTTTCGAATTATTTAACTCTTGTTCGCCCGTACTTTCTCGATAATTTTTACAGATGAAAAATAAAACTGTATCGAATTAGGTATATGAGAAAAAAAAGGAATATGTAAGAACAATTTTTGAATTACTCCTTATTCCACTTCAACCATTTTGATAATAAAAAGTATTTGTGTATGTCTTTTCTATTCATATAACCGTGCTGTGTCATTTCTTTTCTTTTTACTACTACAACAACAACAACATCACGTTCTTTACAGCCTCGTATTCGTCGGTGATGACTGTTCTGTATATTATAAATATACATATTTATGTATATAAAATAACAACAAAAGAAATTGCTAAGAGCAATAAAGTTTTCAACATCGAATAATTGGAATTTGATCTTATGGAATCGTTTTACAGTTTACTGAAAGAGATGCATTTATGTTTTGTAAGATTAAGAGAATAAGAGAAACAACGACGATAACAAATATCTAATGATTAGACTCAACGATATATAATAGTTGTTGACTTAACATACAGTTATATATTCATACAATATGTATATGCACTTTAAAGCGTCGATTCTCTTCGCTTGATTGCAGACGACATTTGTATGACAAAACTACCTCTAAAATCTTTCGCTATTATGCTCATGTATATGGTTCAAGGCAATGAATCAAGAAAAAGAACCAGTTAGAAAAAGAATGGCTCGATAAACTGGCGTCGTTGATATTTATATTAGTCATTGGAAATCTATTATAAATAATCGAACTACTTTAATTGATAAGCAAACATAGAGATGAATTGAATCAAATACAATAAAATAGAAACTAATTCTTTCTAATTATTTACATTTTACTTATTATAAAAGTAGTCATCACCTGCTGATCGAAAATTATTTTTTCAATAATGTGCTTATGAATCGTCATTAAACTTCTAAGAGATTCTTTTTTTAGCTATTTTATTCTTCGAAATTCAAGTTAAGTAAAAAAAAATGAACGAGTCACTTTAATCGAAAAACCATTGAATTTGATCTGACGGTACAAGGAGAGTAGCTTTATGGATTATAATAGTTACTCATTTGAATAAATATAACTATAATCGATTATAAGTAAAATATTAGAGTATGATCAGTCAAAGCTAAGAACTTGATTAATAAAAAAAACCTTTTAAATTATTCATGAAATGTTTTTTGAATGATAAATGATTCATTTTTTTTGTCCACGAAAATTAGTAATACCTACAAAAAAAACAAAAATGTCTTAACTTACAAATATTTTATTATCTACTGTTGAATAGAAAATCTCTTATAGTTTTGTATGGAATATTAAAATTTGCACATATTAAATACTGAATGTAATCTAGTATGATTCAATAACAAAACGATAAACATGAAACTACTCGATTATTCATGCTATTAAGCATACGCAAACAATTGTCATACCAAACATTATAGACTAGTATTTGTTCATCACAGTATCTAGGACTTCTTTTCTTTCGTTTCTTTATACTTTTTTAAACATCCCATTGTTGATAAATAATGTGCTGACATTATTTTACATATAAAACGAGGTGAAGTGATCGCCTACAAAAAAGACAAGCGAATGAATTGTTTCAATGTAGCGAAAATTTAGTTAATCTTTTGTCGCCGGTGATATTTATCATTACTTAATGATGTAGGCAATATTGTTTCCTAATAGAACGCTACTGTTAACCAATCAAGTTATTGAATAACTCAAAGTAAAATTCTTATATTTACGTCAATATTGAGAGATTCGACCCGAAAACCTTCAAAACTCGATATTTCAAATATTTGTTAACTTTCAAAAGTCTCTAAGTCGTTTTTCGATATATGCAAAACTATGTTGAAAGATTTTGTTGATTAGAAAAAATGTATCAAGTTACATGTGACATAAGAAAATATGCTACTGAAAAAATTCGTTCGATCGAAAATTTTCAGTAGCATCAAGATGTAAGCCAATCGGTAAACAGTTGCAATAGAACATAGGCTTAAATAATATTACAGTATTTTATGATTGATATTTAAAATCATAGCTAATCAAAATATTTGAATTTCACTGCGAGAACACGCCTATATGTTGAAATAGTTTTATCTTAATATTTTTGTTACAATTGAGGAAAATTAAAAATAAACAAATTATCAAATGCGTCTTTTTTTTCGTATAAATATTAGCTAGTTAAATTAATGATTTTTCTTCTTTCCAGTTAAGATTTTCTTTTTCACTGGTTTGGCCGTAGCTGCTACTAGAGCTGTTCCTTCGTCGATTAATTGTTGTTCTCGAGCAGCTAGTTCTTGTAAGCGTATCCGTTCAATTTCAAGAAATCTTTGTCGAAATGCTTCACGTGGTTCATTCATAGTACGACGAATATGATCAGTTTTAGCTTGTAAATCAACATAATCTTCTAGTTGACGAATCTTTTCTTTATATCGATTACTTTGATCTACTTGACGAGTTTGCCGAATTTCATCCATATGTTTAGAATATTCAGTAAAATTATTCTGACGAATTTGTAGATCTTCTTTTTCAAACAAATCATAGTTTACAATTGATCCATCTGAAAGTAATTTTTGTCTGAAAGAGCAAAAAAGAAAGTCATATTATATATAAATTTATTTGGTCAATCATTAAGATTTTGATTTACTTGAGAAAAGGTGTTAAATCTAATGGCGGTAAAGCAGCTTTAAATTTGATTGATGGTGGTGGTTCATCTAGAAGCGATTCGTCGGCTTGTGATGCTGACGAAGTAAATGATTCTGCAAGTTCTGTTTGTTTAGAAATTTCATCTTTCGCAGATCCTTTTTTTGTTGATGAAACATTTTTCTTTGTTGGTGACGTTTGTTTGATAACTTGTTGTGACTCGTTAGTTGACGAAGTGATAATACAATTTGTTTCTTCATCAGTGTGAATTTCTGAAACAATTGTTGTATCATCAGTTATTTCAGATGATGAAACTTCATCAGTTTTTGTTTGTAAAGAATCAAGAAATCTTTGTCTGCTCTCCATAGCGTTTTCAGCACGGCCAGCTTGAAGTGTTTCCCATGCTCTTTTCATATTCATCAATTTTTCCTTGCGTTCAGTATCTTTTCTTATTATTAATTCGTCCTAATCAAAAACAAATAGATAGATGTACTCTCATTTTTCAGGAATCATTTTGTTATTCATACAGCTTTATCTGCATCGGATATAATTCGTAGAATCCAATGAGGTTTAGTTCTGTCAATTGTTTTTTCTATATTTTCTTTTGATGATTTAGCACGACTTGATGGTGACGTTATACCTCTTCCACTTGCACCAGTACTCGTTTTTGCTTTATTGGTTGCTGTTGTTGTTGTTGTTGTTGTTGTTGTTGTTGCTACGTTAGAATTTGTTTGCCCTGTTCGTCTTTTACTTGGTGAAGTGCTAACTGATCGATCGATTTTGATCGGCGATGATTGTCGATTAAAAACTGTTTTTACAAATGTATTGATCAGCGCATAGCAAATTAGCAATGAACAAACTTTTTTTACCTTTCATTTCATTTTTTTCTTGTTCTTCAAGTTGCTCAACGAATCGCCATTGATCTTCTGTTAGAGGCCATGATTTACGAAGAACTGTGACTTGTATAATATATTTATGATTCTAAAGAAATTTGTTAAAAGAAAGAAAATAGATTGTTTCAATGGCAACTTTTATAGAATTTTACTTTATCTTCTTCATCAGCTATTGGTAATCCAACTTGACTATTTGATTTCTAAAAGAAATAATTTACGAATTGGTTTTTATTCGAGCGCAAAAGTTTAAGATTGGCATGAATTCGAGAAAATTTCATCAAACTGTCCTATAAGTACACAATATCAAATAAAAATATTCATCTTTTTGATACTCTATTCGACTATAATTATTAATAATATCTATCGATTTTGATTAACTATTATTTATAAGTCTAATTTATCCAGAGGTGTATGCAAACGCTTGCCAATTATTTGCGATTCGTCCGACCAATGGCAACATTCGTCGTACTGTTATGAGATGAGTGTATCATAACACATAATTGAATCATGCCATTTCAAGTATGTCCCGAAGACACTTATTATAAAACACAGGTAACATCAGTTAATCATACGTAGGTTTTATTTTTATGATAAATCAAGTAAAATTAAATGCATATGTTGAATAATGATGCATGATTTGAAGGTTTTGATAAAACTGTAAACTAATTTAGGTAAGTATAATGAAAATTTATGTCGTTGCTGTTTCCTTACACTCTGATGATTACTTCTTCAAATGTTGATAATAAACTATTAGAAACTTAAACGAATCAATGTAAATCTTAACTTACCCTTCTCATGCCATTTGTAGTTCCATCTTTGTCTTGATAGGTGTTATTTACATCTTTTTTATTGCGCGTTCCTAAATCAATATAAAATTAAGAATAAACTAAAAGGATTAACGATTTCAACCTGTTGGTAATTTCGATGGTGGTCTTGATGATGATTGTGATGGTACTGCTTTTGTTATTGTGCGCATAAAAAGTATTGCAGGTAACACAAGACATCCTTTTCCTTCAACACTGACAATTTCTTCATTATTATCTAAGACCGTTAATCGCATTAGTACATCAGATTTCGATGCAGTAAATTGAACGCTTGCCAAATGAAAATTTAAACCAGTTTGATTAATATTATCAGTAATATTAACACGATATCTAAGAGAAAGAAAATAGAAACAAAACACAACTAATATGTACTCATTCTGCTTAAAATATATATTTAACCTGCATAATACTTGTTCTCTATTGGGAACGTAATAGTCAATAAGTTCTTTAGTAGTAAATAATGATTTTATTTGATCAGTATTCGTGTCAGGTAAAACTGTATATGATGAGATGAGACGAAGACGAAAACGATCACTTAGTATTGCTTGCTCCAGTGATATTCCTTCAGCAAAAAATGTATAGCCATTCTATGGATTCGATAAAAACAAAAATAGATTTCAATATTCATGTGTTTTTCTTTGCATAAAAAAAATGATAGGATTTACTTTATTTTTAGTAAATACTCCTGGTCGTAATTTATTGAATACTAATGGCATTTCATCATATGTATCATTATTAATTACACGTAAAAGTGTGTTTGGTAAATGTGAAAGAAATTTAGCAGCAATTAAACTATCTTCATTGAAATGAAAAATTTGACTGAAAGAAAAACGAATGTTTTTATTTGTTTTTTTGAAATAAAATTAATGAGCATTTTGATTTTCTACCGTAATAAAACAAACCAATGGTTGGCTGGTTGTTCTTGATATATTCCATTATAATCTCGATACGTGATCATATTCCAATCATCGTGACGAAATGAAAAACATTGAACTAATTCGGGTTTCATTGATAGGAAAGTTCTTTTATGAGGAAATCAACGTAGAACAAATATTTTAATTAATTAGAAAACTTACCTAAATAGAAGTAAACTGGATTTCTTTTGATCAGCTTTAAGTGAAGACATGCTCGATTGTAATATTTGTTGAATACGCAAATTTTTTTCAGTACCAGGCATACGAGCAAGTGCAATACGACGTTGTAAAAATCCTCGAATACTTTTTTGAATATTCACTATAGATATCATCTCATGTTCACTTAATTCTTGTGTTAATAGACTCGATGAAGATTCTTCTTAAATTGCTTAGAATTTAAATTTCATCATTTATTCAACTCTGAAAATTACCTTGTCTATCTGCTGTCGATGGTGGTTGTTGCTTTAGAGTAGTTTTATCGTCAGAACTCTTGTCTCTACTTCCGACAGTTTTTTTATTTGTAATATTTGTTCCTGTAGGTACAGAAGAACTTCCAATGATTCGAGCTGAATGACGACTTGGACTTCTAACAACTAGAAGAAAAAAAGAAATCCTTTCATTACTCGCATAACATAAAAGATTACTATAGTAAATCTCATATATAAACAGGTAGATTTCATACTCCTATTTGACAATAGACGAATCGAGAGATTTCAAAAATTTACAATAAACGTGCTTTCAGTGGTACATAAATAAAAATAATAAATTTTGATTTTATCACAAGTGTTATGATGAAATGTCATGTCTAATGGGAATACACTCTACTTGATTCCAAAGAAAAATGATAATCCATACGAGTAGTTACATGATTACTTAGTGACTATTCCTATGAGATGTGTACTGAAGCGTAACGTTAACTCATTATCTAATAATGTAGAATATTTAAAATGAGTTCCTGAAGTGCGTGTTCAAGTATAGAAAGAAATCATGTCAGACAACATTCTAAAGTTTCACAAAAAATGTATTTGCTAACATGGTGGACATCTCTCGTAGAGGACGCTATAACATTTCCCTTTTCTTTTATCAATTATTTCACTAGTTGGTTGTAGACCAAACAAAAATTTCGTTAAGCTTTAAGTTTTCAACATTAGAGAATATAATTCTACTAGCTCTAAAAATTTTGAAAAAATAACTACGAAAACTTAAACATAATGATATAAATCTGAGTAATTCTTTGCAAATATAATACTATCAAGAGTCATCTTTTATCATGGAGCTTTAGAATGATTTCATACTTGAACGTTTTACGTCATAAGCAGTTAAAATATCTGGTGTCGAAAGATCATTAGTAAAACATCTCCAAGCAAATTGTGTATCTACATTAATTCCTGGTCCAGATACAGCAATCGTTGATCGTAATGTAGAATACAATGCTTGGTTAAATACAGTAAAGCATGTTTGAATACTAAGATCAATTGATTTTGGTGCTTGTTCACAATATGAAGAAAAAAGATTATATAGTTTATTTTCTTTTTGATCGACCAAATGAAAATTTTCTATAGAATCATCTAAGGCTAGAAACAATTCTTCGGCACGTAGTATGAAGTTGGTGTCTTCCTATAAAAGAGTAAATTAAATTAAATTGATATATTACTCGAAAACATTTTACAGGTACAGAAGTAATCTTATTTAATAGTTGATCTTCATCCACAAGCATGAAATCATTCGTATCCGATAGTAGTTGTAAATTAAATGCTAATGGACTTGTATTCATGAGTTTTATTACATGACGACTAGAATATTATAGGCATACAAATATTTTACAAACAGATATTTATATAGAGTAAGTAAATTCTTACCCGGGTGGTACTGTCAAGAGAGCAGCTTTCGTTGCTGTTGTATGAAGACGAAGAATAGGTTGTCCCATAGTGACTGATTTCCATGAGTGAATTTCCGCTATAAGTGACCCGACCTGTGGTATGATTTCTTTTTGTGATACTACAAAAAAACAAATCTTTATTCTTTTCGTGGTTTAACGAGTGAGCCATAAAGAATCGCATTATTTATTTGTTTTGAAATTATTTTCGATATCATTTACTCGATCGAACGACGCTTGGTATCAATTTAGAGATTTTCAGAGAAAATTTTGAAAAAAAAACTATACTCGAGTCGAACTAGAAACTTGTCCAAAACATATTGACAAAATACAGCAAGCAAATATAAATAGTTCTACACATTTACCATGAAACTTTGTCCTGTTATCATGTAACTAAGAACAAATAGACTAGATCTAAACCATCAAGTCACTTATAATTTCTGTTGCTAATTTTACTAACGAGGGTAGGTCACCAAGTGTTCAATCGCTTTCAAGTCAGAACTATGTGTGTCACGTAGACCCCAGTGAGGTATGAAAAACTCCAAAAGGATAAGAGCGGATAGACCTTCTGTCCAGAGTTATAGTCATTTTACTGAAATTTTAGCCTCTGACATAGTATATATCAACAAATCGAATATCAGTATTTTGACCTTAAATATTGCCCATCGACAGANAATTTCAGTAAAATGACTATAACTCTGGACAGAAGGCCTATCCGCTCTTATCCTTTTGGAGTTTTTCATACCTCACTGGGGTCTACATGACACACATAGTTCTGACTTGAAAGCGATTGAACACTTGGTGACCTTCCCTCGTAAGAAGGTGTTTATACATTATTGCTAGATTTACATAAGATGAAGTCGATAATAAAATACTATTACAATTCATCGAACGAACTACGTGAAACAATTTACTACGATGTAAAATATAGAAAAAATGCAACATTATCGGGTAGAACTAAATGATATGCTCACGGTTGATACTACTATTATCAGCTTATCTGAAAAACTCACGTGACTATATTGGTTACATGTGATATACTAATTATTTTACGGGAAATTCTGTAAATATAAACAATGCAATTCTTTATGATATATCTGATATGAATTCGTTTTTAAGAAAGAAAACCTGTTCTTTTAGCCAAACTTGCATCAATGGAAACTTTTTCAGTCGTAGCAGTTGTACCCCGGGCAATTTTTTCATTTAATACAATATTTTCATGTAATGTAGCATCGTACCATCGTGATAAACTTGTTAAGCTAACAATTAACTCAATATTTTTATTTTGTGTTTCGCGTGTACTATCAACAAATACATATAGTGAAGATCTATCGTCTTGTAAATTCTAATTAATTTAAAATGAAAAGTTAGGATAAATGATGAGAGAACAAAATATCTCACTGGTATTTGCTGAACAATCGACTGATTAGGCTCTTTTTTCTTTTCTTTTACAACAGAACCTACAGGCTAAAGAAAAGAAAACAAAATCTACATATGATGCAATCAAATGACGAACATTTTTATTCTTACATGTTGATATGGAACAAACTAAAATTGATTGATGTGTAGTAATGAACTAAGTTTTATAAAAAGAAAAATTTCTCTTACTTTTAGTTCCGTATATTTATCTCTATGTCGATAACCGTGAGGATTATGAAAAACGATAATTGAACTAAAAAATTTATAGACAAAGATACTAGATTTGATAAAGCAAAGATGATTGTTTTCAACTGACGTAAAACAAGCACAAAAATCATCGAAATCCATCCATATTTTTGGTGTCATATGCGTTGTTTTTTTTGATTTTCGGCTAGGTAGTCGAACACTTTGTTGTTCAACGTTATTTCCTATTGTTGGTGCATCGATTCTTGATGTAAGTTGATCACTTTCACCACCTAAGAATTTATTGAATTCTCATCTTATTATGGCGAATGAAAAAGAAATAGTGACCATTGAATATGTTTCTTTAGTCGAAGTCATTAGCAAGCATCTGAAATATTGCCTCGAGTTCTTAAGTGACACGAAAAAAGTTTCATAATAGATTTTTAAATATTCTAAATAGACTAACTAGTAGAAATGTAATCATTTACCACCATTGCTCAGATGATCAGCGTCAAAATCCTCAATCAATTCAGTTCTAGCGCTTCTTAATAGTGAATATTAGTATATATGTGCTTATCAAGACAAGTAATAGTTCTTAGATCATACACGTAGATATGTGTGCAGCAAATTTATTTACTAGTTAAATCAATAATAACGTTAAATTAAGAATCATTCAATTCGAAAATGAAAACTACTCAGTGGACAATAGCAAAGCAAAAGAAAAGTACGGTGCTAGAAAAAAAATAAAATCTCTTTCGAATGTACACATAAAATAAAATGTTTCCCTAGCTATTGATTAGTTTTAGAAAATAATTGTTTTTATTGGTTCAAGATTTTTCTGTTGAAGAAATTTTTGTTCTTATAACGAACCTCACGAGCACCCATTATTCCCTTAATTTTAGTTTCAAACGAGTTGTATTGACTCAGCTAATTGTTTTACGTGATTCTAACCTTTAGTTTTCATTGATACAGTATCAGACGATATTTTTGTACCAATAACAGCAGATTTTTGAGGAGTCTATTTGAAATTACATTTAATTTATACGTAAAATAACTACTTTCGTAAGCATACTTTCATTCGATCGATTGGAATTTCAATTTTAGATTTGCTTTCTGAACTACGCAGAGATCCATCGGGATTCTCGTGAATAATATTTGCAGTTGACTGTAAAAAATTATAATTTCGTTGTTTAAATTAAATCTTTAAAAATAAAATGCTCACATCTTGTTTTGCCAATGAAAAACTTAAATTTCTATTATTTTGAACAAGTTCAATGTTCGATACGAGCTTTAACTTTCCATTTTCAATATCTTCCTCTTCGTCTATTTCAATAATATTTGAATGATCAGGTACCGTAAAATGCTTGACAGATCGATTTAAGTGTGAAGATATATTTAGAGTACTATAAATAAATTGATGTTTATAATGTTGTCTAAATAAAACGAAGTTCGAATATCTCACCCGATATGATGGAGGATCGAATGCGATCGAATAGTTGGTTTTCTGCATAAACAATACATATTAAAATATAGCTTTTCTAAAAAAATATGAAGTTTACATATTAAGTGCAGTTGCTGTTGGATAATTTATGTAGGGCGAAGTAATTTCAATCCAACGTTCAGGTTTCGATTCATGCGGAACTGAAAGAAAAACTCTAAAATGTCAAGATATCTACTTTTCATAACATTATATTTACCAATGGGTTCAGCGTGAGGTAATACTTTCGGTTTTTTTGGTCGAATCAATTTCCAAGAAGGTACATACTCTAGTGATGAAGGCGGTTCTAATGGAATATCTCGAATAGATGTGAGTAACATTGATGTTGAAAACGTATCATTTAAATTATAACGTCGTAATCGTTCACGTCTATCAGCTGTTTCTCTATGCGAACTCATAAGTGTTGGTTGTGAATGTAATGTAGTTCCGAAAACAATCAATTTTGGTGCTTCAGGAATCATGAGATCATCAAAAGAAAGTCCAGAATCATCCATGGTAGTTCCACGACCACATACACTTAATCGTTTTGCCTCTCTAGAAATGCTGACATTTGAACTAGCATCTGAAAACAAAATTTTCTAATTGTATACTGATTGAAAGATTTTACTTGATCGATTTTCTTTGTGACTGGGCGTTTTCGCTACTAATGAATCTTTCGGAATATGCAAATGATTGGACGATTCTGTTCTATTGAGTTTTTTACCATGTGAATGATCTGATGAATTCTTTTTTTAAAAAATGCAAATCAAGTAGAAAATTCTAGTGAAATAGAGAGAAAAAAACTGCTTGAAATTTACATTTATCAATACTCGTTCTCCAGGTAGATGAACTTTTAAATCAGGCCATTTAAATAATGGTACAGGCCCAAAAGATGACATGTTCTTATTAACTTCACTCGCGTTACCAGAAACATATTGATTAGAACGATCATAGCGAAGAAAATTCCATATTTTTTCAGCATGAGTATATCTGCAAAGAGAAAAACTTGTCTTTATATTTCTTTTTGGATTAGTTTTTATTACTTCAGAGGAATAAATTCTGGTACCCAACCAGTAAGTGAATGAATTACTGAAGCGTCACTGGATTCAAGAATATCATTCGATGCATTGAAACTATATCACCATAGAAACTATTCATAAAGAAAGGTTTTTTTCTTCTTCTAAATTTTCCTACTCGAGAGAAATTATTTTTAATAAAGCTTTCGATAAAAGCATTGGCCAAAGTTCATGTGGCAATGATGTCTGTGGTAGAAGACACCGATTTTCAGAGTCAAATGGAATAGTATCATCAATAATAATCTTACGCCAGGCACCCTAGCAATAAAATTAATTAACAAAAAGTAAAGTTGAAGTTTTCTTTTATAATAACAAACCAGAAAGAAAAGTCGAACAACATATTTGCCTGAAGGATTATATGGAGTAATGAATGGCTGTTTAGATACTTTATTCAATGCATATATGTGTTCCTGATATAAATAGAAAAATAGTTATTCATAGAGTGAAGATAAGAACAAACCCAAGGACGCCATGTTCTTTCAATTCTTCTATTAGATTCATTCGTGTTGTCGGATGTTATATTAGTATTTTTGTAACGTTCTTTTCGACAAATATCCCAGAGAGCTGTAATTTCACTGATGATTTTTCGCATTATCTTTATTAAAGAAAATCCTATTGAATTAAGAAAAAAACAATTCCATAAAAATTTACTTCACTATGATGTAAATGTTGATTTGGCTTAACTAAATCAAAACTTTGAATGCCAAGATCAGTATCAACGACAACCGGAGACTATTGTATTTCAAAAATGGTGCTTTCGATTTTAATTCGAACAATTTTCTTACCTTATCAGTTGTCAAAAATTCACTGGGCCGTTTCCATTGTTCTATTTTCAATGATGGAGGAAGCTCGATTTTACCTTCAGGATCTTCAAAAGCATGTGTACCCTTAAACATCATTCATATAATTAATGGAACGTTTATATTATTATCATACTGTTGAGGCGTTTATTTTTATGTCAATACGACTTCGGACAGAAGCTGTATCTTTCTTTTTTACAGTTCCTGTATCCCATGATTCCGTATTAACATCTGTTTCATTCCATTCAGGCCACATTGGTGCTAACCGAAATTGTCTATTGTCGATAAGTCTAAATTTTTAAGAATTGAAATAAATTAAAAGAAAACAAACAAGAACGCTAAAACAAATGAAAACCTTGACACCCGATTTCTACGTCGGCGATTACCAGTAACAAATTTTGATGATATAGAACGATGCATTTTTAATATTTTGCCATGTTTAGCATAAGAATGGTCTAGTTTTAGATAGGTAACTCTCAAGACAATACTATTTTATTATCACAACCATTTTTATTGAAATAGATAAGACAATATTCTCAACGATTATATCAATTTTGACATCAACATTCATAATAGAGGGCACTGCTTAACATAACAAACACGTCAATTCAATTTATTAAACTATATATAACCACTATTTATTGTATAGAATCCAACTTTTAAATTCATTAATGCAACGATAGAGCGTCAAAAGAACTTAGACATTGTGTTAAGATTCATCGCAAATTTCTCTTTTTCAATGAAACCATCCTTATGATATAATATTAAAAAAGAAGAATTTTGATCTATCTAAAATCTACAAACCTATCTGTCCAATCCATGGTTGACGACAATCGACGATCTCTAAACGTCGAATATTGTCTTGAATATCGTTCATCATAATCAAACGTAAATTTTGATGAATAATGAACTAGTTTAGTAACCGTTGTATAATGTTTCATGATTTGACAAAGTATTGAATTTAGTTCTGATGTTTCTCTTCTAGTTATGTTGCATAGAAACCAATTGTAGTTGAGAGTCAAAGCAAAGAAGAAGAAGAAAAAGCTTTTATTCAAAAAATTTGATTACATATGATAACAGTAGGGAGCGCATGATCACCTGTGGCGTTCATGGAATTGTGCATAGGCTTCTATTTCGATTCTTTTTTAATGCAACATTTGACATACTGCTAATCAATGAACATAAAAAACTACTGTACAAAATGTTTTTTTATTATCTAGAGAGCATGTAAAATTGCTATGGAAAACATGTGTCTAGCAGTCCACTACTGTTTCTGTTTGAGTGAAACCGATTATTAATTTTGTGACCTCATCTTCTTGTTAAACAACTATAATGTGTAAAGAATTCAAACATATAGATGGAAATGCTTCATCATTTACCTATAATACAATACAGTATCTTATACTTGCAGCTGTTGAAAAATTTTCCAATGCTACAACTGTCATTACAATAACATTTGTGTATAAAATTATCGATTTCTAGCATCGATCAAAATGAAATCGGGCTTTGCTAACCGAAGTAGCAGCAAACAGACGACTTTCCAAATGTACACAATAGAAGGGGACCCTTTCAATGGCAAAATCCCTCTTTTCCATTTTTCGACAAACTTCAATAAAGTTATTCTGGAACTTTTATGGATGTCCTTCAAAAAGAAAAAAAATTACCTCAACTTTTTTAGCCAAAACAAATCATCAGGCTATCAATGTTCAGGAAGGCACACTTTATACGATATTAGAAATCAGATACTTTCTTTGTTTGAATTCCAGTTTTTCTCGAATCCAAGTTCGAATCATGTATTTCATAACTAAAATTCTCCCATTAATCAACATATTCACGATATTATAATTTAGATAGCTAGAAAAAAAGTGCTTCGAATGACATATATATGAAGTGTAGGTTTCAATTAGCTGAGAGTGATTTTCAGCATCGTCACAGAATGATAATCTATTTTTGGTGAAGTGTAATTACCAGTAAATGTTCCAATATCTTTTCGTGCCCATAAATCACGTACAACAGCTGAATGATCAACCGGAAAACCAATGTCCTGCCAATTCACTGTAATCGATTCGCTTCCGAAATCGTTTCGATTGAGTAATACAACAGCTTGTGAACCATTCACAAGTGGCCCAGCCCACACTTCAAGGTTCGCTTTCAATGTTAAACATTCACCATTGTGTTTACTCCGAACAGTTCCGTCATTCGGACTCCATAACCATGCTTGATTATCTTGCTTATTGCATGAGAATGCATCCACACTTGGACCATCAAAATCATATACATCCAAACTAAATCATTCAAATGAAAGGTCCCGCATAGATATCGTTTCAACTTACCATTTTCCATTCATTCGACTGACAACACTTTGATCAGAAGTATTAATTGTCCACTGTTGATTTTTTCCTTGGCATTGTGCATTCGGATCATTAATTTGGCATTCACTCACTACAATATTGGCAGCTTCTGATGTACTGCAACTATCGATTGATAAACATTGACCATTAAGCTTAGATCGAATCGAACCATCTTGAGGATTGTATGACCATTGTAAACGTTCAGGTGCGATAGTTGCTGAGAACGATGTACAATTAGTCACAGCTACGTCACTTGACGAATTTGGTAGTTGTGATGATCCGAATGCAACTTTTTTGCCTTGAACACCAAGTGGATCTTGATTGACAGCAATGACTTCAGGATTGGTAAGAGTTGCTAACGTAGCTGCACTCATCTTACTGACATCACATCCAATGAGAAGTGGTGCTTTGCTTATGGCCCAAAGAGAAAAATGTGAAATATATTCGGAGTCGGTCATTCCACCATTTCCAACTTCGAGCACTGAATATATATGAGATGACGGACGGGGAGAGAGAGAGAGAGAGAAATATCAATATTCGAAAATAGAGTATATAGCTAGTATAACTTACTATCAGGATCATTCCAACCACCTGGACCTGCTTTATCTGCAAATTCATTATTCTAAATGGAGAAGGGAAGAAATGTCGAGAATTTGTGAATGTAATTGATAGTCATACAATGTCAATGTTGTCCAACATTGATTTCCATTTATCACTTATATCTCCAGTAGTTCTCCAACTGTTACCAACATTGGGTGCCCACAAAGCTGGCTTATCAACGCCCCATTCTATAGAGCAGAGTAGTAGAAGAGAATATGCCGCAAATCGGTGTACATACCACACATCGAGTAAAAGATTGATCGTCCACTGGCATTCAATGCATCTCTCATAACCGGATATCTCACTTCTGGAATTGTTCCATCACTGTTACAGTTATCATATTTTAAATAATCTACACCCCATGCAGCATATGTTTTAGCGTCTATTATTTCATAGTGTAAGGAGCCGGGTCTACCATCACAAGTCTTGAACCCTGCATCTTTAAAAGGAAAAATGATAGACATATAATGTAATCAATATTTTTCTTAATTAATTTTAAATTTCATAACATGTAAATTGAGCTTCAGACATCGTTCTTAGTCATATGGAACGAAAATACATGGGATTATTTTAAATTCTATATCTAAATTGTCATAGTACCTACTGTGAATAAGACAGATACTGCGAATTAGATATGGTCAAGGAAATACTTTTCTTTGCCTGGACAAGATCTATGAGTGAAGACCGGTATTTAACTTTCTTACCTGAGTACAGACCAAATTTAAGTTTTCTTGATTGAACATAATCCACTAATGCAGGAATACCACTTGGAAAAGCGTTTGGGTCAGCTTGAATGGTGCCTTGAGAATCTCGACTAACTTGCCAACAGTCATCCATATTTACTAAAGGTGAACGAAATAGATTTAATCTCTGTACTAATTGTTTTCTAAAAATAAAACATACCATATTGGTATCCGGCAGCAGCGAGACCTGTTGCTACAATGGTATCTGTTGTTTGTTGAATAAGTTTTTCATTGATATTACAACCAAAATGGTTCCAACTATTCCAACCTAAAGAAAAATAGGTTACCAGTTATCTAGAGAATATTGATGCATCGTACCCATCTGTGGAGTTCGACCGAGACCATTGTTGAGTTGATTAGAATCCGCAATGAAAAGTAGTAAGGCAACGAGTTTCAAGAAAGTCATCATATGTCACTCGACGTGTGTAGTGTAGAATATCAGTGCCTTAAGAAAAGTTAGAATGGTTCCATGTATGTGTTCGATGTTGCTGGCGAGACAGGAGGCATATGATGATAAGCGAGGGTAAGATTAGCTTCAGTTGTGTGTATTTTTGCTTTATTCAGCGTTAACAGATGCCAATCGGTGTTTTGTTCTCACGGGTGGCTCTTTTAAGTAGACATACCATTAAGAAACCCCTGATTAAGTAGAGTATAAGAAATATAGGCAGAAGTATGATTTAAAAAAATTAAACTTTGTAGCGGTATTAGAGGCAGCATGACCTATAGTGATGATATATGTTGCAAGTGAAAAATTCAGAAAAATGTTTTTCTAAACGAGACTTGTTTAATATAGATGAAGAACTAATACAATTGGCTATGATAGTTGCCAAGAGATAGAATTTTTAGCACAAATGAGAAACTATTCTGCATATTTCGCAATTGTATACGATCTAGGACAAAGTTTGAAGTGAGAAAACATTTTTGTTTTAGTGTTCTACGATATAGCTAATAAATCAATACCGTGCGTCCCCTGGATCTGGTTACTTTGTTTCCGATCGTTCTAATATGATTTTGAACCACATAGCTACTCTATCATACGTAAATTGAATCATTTTCAGCTTGAAAACTTTTGAATATTAACTAAAGTTGTTATATACACACTCTTGAAACGATGAAAGGCCAAGCTCACTGCTTATATTTAAATATTGATTGAACTACTTCATGATGTATTGTTTAATATATGTTTTCCCAGTCAAAACTGCTTTTTATTTTGAAATTCCAAGAAAGCTGCCAAGAATTTCTCCTCATTGGATGAAATGTTTCATTTCAACAACTGGCATTACAGTTCTTGAAAAAATCTATGAAGCAAAATTGAGCTTTATCATTGAAAAAAGAATCATTTTTGCGATAGGTTACGATCAAAACACATTGTATTATCAAAAATCATATACAATAGTATTTTAAGACACATATATTTCATATACTGCTTCTATGCTACGACCTTGATGATAGTATTTTTTTCACCACAATTATATGGGATTATCCCAAAATCTGACCGGAATATCTCATGAGATGAAGCAATGCATACGTAGTACTATAATAATACTATTTATAATACTTTTCTTACATGCTATTGGATCTTTTGACTCATGAAACTAGCATTATGAATAAATCTATTGGTAATCTGTTGAATTCACAACAAAGTAAATTTTAGTACACCTGTCAACAGATATGGTACAGTAAAAGATTTTTCTACAAACACAATCAGACGAAAAATCGCAAGCAGAACCGCTGAAACAAAACTTAAAACAAATAATACGACTCTAAACGACTAAAAGAAAATACTACGCAGAATGCTAAACATGATATCTCTGTGAAATAATTCCAATCAACTAACTAACAATAATACCTCCAAAAACCTGATCCACAAATGAAAACATTCCAATCTTACTCATTTAATTCAATCAAAAAGTCATTCACAAAAAGCACACAAAAACTAATGCACCACTAAAGTAAATCAAAGGTCAGTTTAGATGTGTTCTTCTCTACATTGTGAGCGTAATGTTCAACATCATCACAGAATGATGATCTATTTTTGGTGATGTGTAATTACCAGTAAATGTTCCAATATCTTTTCGTGCCCATAAGTCACGTACAACAGCTGAATGATCAACCGGAAAACCAATGTCCTTCCAATTCACTGTAATCGATTCGCTTCCGAAATCATTTCGATTGAGTAATACAACAGCATGTGAACCATTCACAAGTGGCCCAGCCCACACTTCAAGGTTCGCTTTCAATGTTAAACATTCACCATTGTGTTTACTCCGAACAGTTCCGTCGTTCGGACTCCATAACCATGCTTG